CATGTTGGTAGACGACAAGACATTTTTTTTAACCCGTTCATATAAAGTCCAAAATGAAAACTATGGTTACTGTCTGTGCCTGTGCCTGTGTGTGTGTGTGTCTATCCGCCCCTGTATTTCAAACATCCCTGATCCAATTAAATTCTCTTCAAACCTCGCGTATACATGATACCTTAATCTGAAACAATGATTTTGTGAGAAGATGGCCAACTGGTGACCATTTTTACACTGGTTTTTATTATGGATTTATTTTCTTCATATCTAAAAATGTTGATCACTGGCATTGGATGAACAAAGTATATTATTATTGATACAAATCCTAATATTGCTGAAAATGTTTAAAAAATTTGCATAATTTATTGAGTTTTCGGGTAGATAATAATTTGCCATAAATGAGCAATGGGCAAATGAGCAATTCTGTCCCATAATGCATTTCATATATGTGTAAAATTTGACTCGTGCTGCATTTGAATCTTTGTGTTTTACAGATATCAGTCAGTTGAAACCAATAAAAGATTTGCTGCCTGAATCCATAGATTGGCATCATATTAGAATTGTTATAGCTATACTACAAATACAGTATGGTATGCCAACTGTTGTTGAAAAAGATGCCTCACCACCATCTCGGTCACTGCCATTAATATGCAAACCAAAATCACCAACTGTGAGTGCAGTTTTTATACTTCATTCTCAGACTTAGAGTAATTTTTATTTCTCCCTGAATTGACCTCTGGGTGTCCATTTGCAATGTCTCACACATGCTTTGACTGATCAAATTAAAAATTCATACATACATATGCACATTAACACAATGGGATTTTGATGCACATTAATTCATTTTTTGATGGCCGACTGATGGCCATTTTGTTTTATACCATAAATAATGCAGTTTTGAATTCATATCATCTCCATCAAAGCGGTCCCAGGCCCGGTTGAGAGAGGAGGGGGGTTGAGCGTAGGGTTAGCAGTTCCACCCTAGCAGTTCCACTTCTCCTAAGAAGTCTATGACGTGCTGCAGTGAAAGCCGAAAGGAAGCTGTAACACCGAAGAGCCTTTTGTCAACCAGGATTCATTACCCGGATAAGATCAGCAACCTTGAACTCTGGGAGGAAGATTCTTGCGGAGGAGATGGGGTTGGATCGGCTACACTTTGCGTAAGCAACCGTTCAATATCACCAGACAAGCCTTGACATGGAATCCACCGGGAAAGCGGAAATGTGGAAGGCCAAAAAACACCCGGTGGAGGGACCTCAACGATGATGTTAGGCACTCAAGATTCACCTGGGGACAGCTTGAGACTGCAGCACAGGAACGCACACGCTCGAGAACTGTCATTGATGGCCTATGTTCCAGGAGGGGGGACAGGCCGAAGTGAAGTGTACTGAATTCATATCAGCTATGCCCTTGATCACTTAAGGTAGAAGCCTACTCATAAATTAAAAAACCCAGAATTTATTCATTTTGCAATAAATTGTACTCCAAGGCAATATAAGGATATTGAACTAAAAAAAGTTTTCGAGAAATGGATGGATGTATTTTAGTGGAAAGTCGCCATTTTGACATTATTATAACACTTTTACCACAGGTTCCTATGGCAGAGATATTATGCAATATTTCACAATCTAGCCTGGTGACATAGGCTGAAAAAATCATATATTGTTAATGATGGAGTACCTTCTGTTGTTCTGAATTATTAAAAAAATCTGGGTTTTAAAAAGTGTCAAACAATGCAATTTTCTTTTAACATTATTGTCTATGGAATTGTTCTAAAAATAGCAATTTTTAAGAAATATTGGGACACGTTTCTCAAAAAGCATAACTGTAACACACACAATAATGCTATTTCATTATACCATGGGACATTAGCTTCATGATTGTACATAATAAACTAATGAACATTGTCATGCGATTTATGACCAATTTTGTCAAAAATCATGACTCGGCTTCTACCTTAAACTTGAACTTCACACATACATCATATCAGACATGTACACATGTGATTTTTTTTTTTAATCCGACTCAAGATACCCGTATGATGCACATTTCATTTTCCAGATCAAGTTTAAAATGACCAACTGGTGGCCACTGTTTTAAAAAATGCAGTGCCTAGTCTATATATCCCACATGCCTAAACCAATCTAGTTTAAACTTCAGATATACATTATATCAGACATGCATTTGATTCAGTTCAGAACCTGAATTTCCAACATAACCATTCAAGTCCCAACTTCACACATACATCAAACAATTGCAATTGGAACTCTGTTTTATATACATGCTATATTTCAGTATTTGAAATGCAGTCAATAATGTTCTTTTTTTTAAATTTGTTCAACAGTTCATGGACAATGTTAGATGTAGCCAGCCCCCTCGTCCAGGACAACAAAGTATTGTACAACACACCGTGAAGACCACTACAGCTTTATCAAAGCCAACCGTCAAAAAAAGTTGGTCATTCTGTGGCTCAAGTCGACTGTCTGTTAGCACAACCACATCTTCACAGTCACAGTCGCAGTCACAAGACCGGGACCGGGGTGTGAAAAGAAAACTACCAAGCTGGTTAGGTTCAGCAAAGAAAGAAGCCAGTCAAGGACTCAAATGTACAAAGAAGTTAAAGGGAAACAGTTTATTCAATAAAAAATAAATTAATTGAATTAATTCCTACTCTGAGACCCCAGATGCAAGTGTATTATATGTAGGTATGATACGAGTTTGTCTGTGTCCTTAGGAATTATGTAGTGTTTGGGTCTTGCAGTTGATAAATTCAGGCTTCATGTTAAATTCAGTATTCCATTTAATACAGAGCTTTGATGTGCAATGGAGTGCTCATAAGTTACAGCCACTGAACTTTCGGCCAGTATTTTGATCCTGGCCTTGTTGGCATGTGTGCAGACTATGCCACTTTCGAAATCTACCATGCTTGATGTACAAAATAAGTTATTAGTATAAGAAAATTAAATATGCCTTATTCAAACAAGTATTTTGCCTAACGAACAATATATTAGGAGATGAAAGTAGTAAAGGGAAAAAAATATGTCATACTAATATATACTAATGAAGAAAAACAATGATACCATGTTTGCTATTCGATTGGTAAAGATATAAAACATCCAACTTCTGCACAATTAGTGGCCAGGACTTTGTACATTCATGAATTCTATAGTGGAAGTAATATTTCCACTCTATATAATAGAAAAATATCTTACTAAATGAAGTTACTAATTTTTTGAGCATTTGTAAAAAATATTTGAAAAAAATTTTTATTAGTTCATGTCACAAAGTTTTATAAATATGAAATACATCACCATAAAAACCAATGAATAAAGTATAATGTAAATATTTCCACTGGTAGCTCAGAAGTTGATCTTTTATTTGTTGTTTATTTGAATAAAAAATAATTTTATATATTTTTTTCTCTGCCAAAATTTTCATACAACATTCTTGACCAAATGAAAAATTTACATTACAGAGCTTTTGATAAGTTGTGAAATATACTAGCATGATTACCGGTGTTATCAGCATTCAATTATGTATTCACATTGGTGTGAAGGACTAGCAGGTTTTCTGAATCAACAATCTTTAAAACCTGAAAATATTAACATTGAGGTTATTTGTTTCCTTCATTAATTTTCATTTGTAGAGGTGTGTAAATTGTATCCATCTATCTTATGCACTGGATAGATGAGGATTTTACCATAGTCTGATCATGAGTTACAACACTGAATATTTGTACTGCTTTTAAGTCGTTCCTAGTTCAATAATAAGTCATTTTGTTTTTCTCAGATCAGATTCAAAATGGCTGTTGGTTTTAACAAATACAAGTATCTACATCTCTGCCATGCCCCGACTGATCACTTTACATCATACCTCATGTTCATATTTATTCACTTGGTTATCCAATTTCAGATATGGATCTGTCATTCATAGACAGATTTTGTTCAAACTTGGTATGTACATTGAACTTTGAGACCCTAATGTACATCACTTTGTCAGATCAGATTCAAAATGGCCGACTGGTGGCCATTTTTTTTCAGGGAATAGTTTTGGAGCCATATCTCTGACTGTTCATGTTCAAACTTTATGTATTCATTAAGCTTGAGATTTCACCGTTTTACTGCAATTACTTGAACATGGAACCCTTTTAAAGGTCAATAAATTTTCTTTTGTGTAATGAGAAAATGCAGCATGAAAAGTTGACTTTGATGCATAGTTATGCAGTGCTGGACTTTTCACAGTGAATTAAAACCAGTTCATATTAATTGTACATCTTGAGCTGAAATCAATAGAATTTACTGTTTTGCAAAAAGTCTTACCAAAACATCTGCACCCAGTCAAATTTTCTCTTATATTGACCTTCCATTTGAACACTCTTCAATGGGTTCAGAATCACTATATAGTGCATGACGGTAATATAATCCCGCAATGTTTTCGTTGCCATTTCAGGCTTTTAACTCATTAAACTATCGTGAATATGTACTGTGAGTAGGAGAACACATCAACTTGTGTTATGAATCTGTTATTTTGCTAAAGAGGTGTACATGTTAAATCCGAATTTCCCATATGCCTTGTTCTGCAAATACACATCAGGTCAGACATGGTTGCAACTCAAATCATGGAAGACAACATTCGACAAAGATGCTCTGTTTCCACAAAGCCTAATAATTAATAAAATATGGCCATTTAAGTTTTGTGCAAATCAATGACAATGCAACTAATTTTGTAATTTTATTTTCCCCAATCTCGTACAGCAACAAAGTAATGAAAGCATGTGCAGTTCTACAACAATACTTATTGTCCACCAAAAAAAAATAAAAATTTGCTGGACACTTAGAGACGAGTATGTTTGACATGGGTTCACATGTGTTGATTAATACAGTAAATACACTAATTTATCAGAGAAATTCCTATGGAGATGAAAAACAAGTGTTTTATTGTACATGTATAATCTAAGAAATTTCATATGCTGAAAGATACAGGAGAAAAAAGAAAGTTGTGACATGTATTAGGAAAAAATCAAACTTAAAATTTGCAAATTAAAGAACAACAGTTGTGTCGTGTAAAATACTTTATTTTAGCTGGAATTCATTTTTGCTGAGAAGACTTTCGGTGTTTTGTAGGGAATTCATTTGCACTATTTTTGACAAGTTGGATGTAAAATATAGCGAAAAAATGATACATTTGCTGGATTTTATTTTCACTGAATCATTCTTGCAGCAAAAATTGCAAAAAATTAATTCTAAGCGACAATAAAGTATTTTATACATTATATTGCTTACATTATATGCATTGCATGGGACAACTAAATTGAAACTGTACAATACACAGTATTGTTCGGGGAAAAAAAATCACTTGTTTTTATTTTAGGAAATAATAATGCTTAATAAGCTCAATGAAACTTCCACAATGGTACTCAAGACGTTATCAACCAAATATTGAAATCAGATTGATGAAATGAATGAAACAGGATCAGTTGGACAAACTTTTGTGCTTTGCACACACAAGTGAAAAAAAAAATAGTATAAGGATACAATAAATAGGAAAAAAAAGGTGATATTTAATATCTACAAACAAACTCACAGAGGTTATATAAAGACCTATATTTTAAAATGAGATATTTAAAATTTTGCTGATTTGGATGGATTTTTTTGCATAGAATATAAACAAGGGATAGTAAACTTGTTGAATCAGAAGTGAGAGATCTTGTCTTTTCATGTGCTGGGGGATAAGCTCCAAACTATACTCCTAAAATCCAGTATTGAAATTATTTGTACAACACCCTCATAGATTTACTCATTCCACCATAGAGGGCAGTCATCTTCACAGCTGCATAATATTGCAGTTAATTTGCATTTATGGTTTAGTGGAATGTCTCACTGGAACAAGAGACCAAGACAAGCTACACCTATTCAGAGTTGATAACACCAGTATTTAGGATAGTGTTACACTGTATGACTAAGTTTTAAACAATTAACCAACCACAACTGCATACACATAATTCATAAATTTGTAAAAGAAAATGAAATACATAATCTGGTGAACATCTCACAGTATTACTAAAAGCTGTAAACTAATTTTTCCTGCAGTATTTACGCCTTACTATATAATAAATTTCACAAAAGTTGATGTCACTTCATGCTCAAGAGAACCACAATGACATTTTGTCAAGCTTACTATAAACTTTTGTAATTTCCCAAACTCAAAATTATCATGAAATTAAAGCAAAATGAATATGAATATACTGGCATGCAATCTTTGCTGAATTTCACTCAGTATAGTCAGAGTAGTTAATTGACAGTTGATTGGTTGAATAAAAAACAAGTGTCAACATAAACACTAAAGGCCAACGAATATAGAGAATTTTGTTCTTCTAGGCTGGAGTGGTGTATAGAATGGAACTGGCTAATATAATGCATACTATATTTACAATGTATGTCCACCACTATGTCAGTAAAACACTTTTGTTGTGTATGCAGTTGTGATTTCTGGTCACGAAGCAAACTTGTAAAATAACTGCAACAATGCTGATGCAGCTCTGTCCTTCATAATTACACGCATAACTTGAAGAACGGTGCCCTGTAATGAAAATATAAAATAATTTAAGGGAGTTACTGAAAAACAGTAGTTTTTTGAATAACTGTGGCAAACTTAATTTGTTCAAGGTACATGTATGGGCACATTGTTACACATGAATGTTATCTGCTCTATTTGAAAAACAACTTTTTGCAAGAGAAGGCATTCTTGTATTTCAAACTGTTTTAATATATAGCGACTGGACCGTGTTAGCGCCCATGCCCGGTGAAGCGACCACCCCCTACTATTGCGTGATTTTTATATTCAGGGCCACATTCGACAAAGCGACAACCCCTTCAAAATGCCACTAATTTAAAAAATGGTCTTTGATCATTGCTTAATGAATACTGGTAATCATTTATAAAAAGATACAGCGTGGATATCAACTGCAGTGAATATGTTGTGAATGCTTAGACTACAATAACCGTGCATAAACAGGAATATTTCATGCCATATTCAGTTTACCTATCAAAAATTGCTAGTTACCAGTTTTTTGAAAAAACTATGCCGTTTATTCACCGAAATCAATCAAACAAATGGTACTTCAACATTCACTTCCGCATTGCATTACCAGAAAGTCTTCGAGAGTTTCCGAAACATTGTGTTGATACAACACAGCATTCTGATTGATTAATAACAGACTTGACCAATTAGGTAAAAGGGCGTTGTTGCAGGTCAAATCATGCAATAATACATGATGGCAGA